AAATAAGGAAATAAATTCTCCTCCTGCCTTGTGCCCTGAAAAACAGATCTAAAATTGTGCCCATAATAGACATTATCTTAATGTTCCAATGACTTTTCCCCACTTGTGTGTTTTCCACATCTCTAGAATCTCTTCAGAGGTTCAGGTTAATGGGACATTGTTCTCTGTCAGGAACATCCCTCGAGGCACTTTGCAGCTGTTCACAGTTTCCACCTAGACAGATAACAGCCAAGTCAAAAGTTCACCTGGCTGTTCATTTTATTTAAATGTGTTCCCTTTTGCTACTGCTTGCAGATTAAAACCAGAGACGTCTGCAAAGGAGACGTCTCGCCAAAACCTTACATTTTGGATAAAGATCTTTATTTCTTGGAAATGTCAAAATCTGGTAGGACACGGCAGCCTTGACACAAGTGTTATTTCTTAAAATATTGCTTTGAACTGTTATATAAAACCTATTTTAACTTGAACTGTATTGGCAGTGAATAATAGATGCCATAACAACTTTATATATAGCACTGTAAAATGTGCCATCAGAAATACATGAGCTGAACTGTAATGTGCATTGTCAGTGCTCAGTGCTGGCACAAGCTCTGTCACAGCAAATATATGTAATTTACCATCCCCTGCCTTTCATTTGCACCTSTGGTCATCTGAAAAATGGGAGATGGTAAAAGTTTGAAAAGAAATGGGTAAGGGCTGAATGGGAAACTTCACAGGGTTTCAGCTGGTTACTGGAAAGACTTATTTAAAAAAAAAGTTTCTAAATAATACATTGATTCTGAAAGTCTCCCCTGATCCTCCCCATGCAGCTTCTCCAGAGGGGATGAGCAATGAAGATGAGAAAAAAACCCTCCCAGGCCACACCATCATTTTTTTGGAATTGCCTTCAGGTCATCCCACCTCCTCCACACCCCTTTTCCTCTCTCATTGCAGTTTCCCATCCCACAGGATGGGCATTTTCCTTCCTTGGAGAGCAGAACTCTCATGGTGTGGGGGATGGAACAAAWTGATCTTTAATGTCCCTTTCAACCCAAACCCCTCYGTGATTCCMTGATATCCCAAAGAAAGCAAAGCACATCAACAGAGCTGTATTTTAGTTGCTTCCCTTGGCAAAAAAAAGGAGGAGAGATGAATAGGTTGTGGCAACAGGTGTGACGAAACTGCTTTTATTTTTAGGAGAGGTTGTTCCCTCTTGGTCGTTGTTGAGAAATGTTGATGTTTGTTCCCTCTCTGTTTGGAAGAGAAGTGATAGATGCCAGCCTCCACGCCTGTCACTCAAGCCTTTGTAGGCAGACAGAAAATGAAACACAATAAAAATAAARCAAAAGGAAGCCCCACAGAGTCTGGCAGAGCATTTTTGCTAGTTCAAACATGTTCCTTGTTCCCTCATTACTACGTATCATTTCTTGCTGAGGGATATTTTCCGTAAAATCTCTCACCAACGGTTGCGGTTTAGAGAGTTTAGCGCGAACTATTTTACACCTTTCATCAGCTTCAGCAGTCCAGGGCTTTGACTTATGAGGGCTCTGCCTGTCYCTTCACAGAGGCTTTTTGACTCAGAGCAAAGTATAAATAACCCAACATCATGACAAGCACCGTCCGGGAGCGATCAGGCGCCATGTGAGTGTCAAGCTCCTCTCCTGACAGCGTTGGGGAGCCTAATTATCCTGAGCTGCAGAGCTGCCTGCCAGGTTGACATGGCCATCCCTGGCACTGGTATTGAGTTGTTTCCTAAAGAACCCGCCCCAGTATCCTGCCCAGTCTAATTTAAAATGACCTGAGCTGCAGGACTGCCACCGTTTATTTCGGGAGACTATTTCACGGTCCAGCAGGCTTCGGTGTTGATGAAACGCTTCCCTCTGTTCTTGCTAAAGATCCCTTTCTCATTCTCGGCTTTTTACACCTAGTGGAACTCTGCTGGACCCTGCAAATAATTCTTCTTCCCCTTTGGCTTTTAAACTTCTCAAATGCTAGCAGTTATCCTCTTCACAAGTTGGTCTCCCTGGCTTTTCAG